CCCCCCATCCCACCCCCGGCCACCACGCATCTGTTTTCTGTCTCAACCGATTTGCCTGTGTGAGACATGTAACTGGCTTGTGTTGACTGGCTTCTTTTGCTTGGTGTATTCTCACGGTTCACACATACTGTAGTGTGGATGGTGCTCCGGTCCTTTTTATGGCCGAGCAACATCCGGTTATATGGACATGACACATTTCTGATCATCCCCAGTTGATAGGCATTTTGGTTGTCTGCACACTGTGTTGTACACAGTCCTGAACATTTGTGTACAGGATTTCGTGTGAGCACACTGTGTTAACTCTATTGCATATTTGTCGGTAAGTCATCACTGTTGCTCTGGGGTTCCCGTTTGTATGTGCACAGATGTATTTCAAATAAAATGACATATCTCTGCAGTCAAAGGACGGAGGCAGACAAGTCCTCTCAGCAAGACACAGTTTCATTAGACTACTTTTGAAAAAGGATACTTTTTTTTTAAGGATACTTTTTGTGTCATGGAGAAATCACTATTTTAAGGTCAAGACTGATACCAATTGTATAACAAAAATTAGTTGAACATCTTCCCAAATCATTGAAGCTTTGCAGAAAGTCTACAGGATTCTCTTTGAGGAAGACTCAGTCGCTGTTGGACCGTGCTTCCTTCCCTTGCTCCTATTCCTGACTCACCACTGTTCACTCCCGCTGAGGAACAATTTGGTCAGGAAGCTGCCCTGCTCGCTGCCTTGGCATCTAAGGACACTGGGAAGACGCCTGTGGAACCACAGGTAGCCATTCACTGGATTAGATTTACCCTATCCAGCTGCAAGGTAAACCCTCTGGAGTAGAGGCACGGAGGAGGAGGAGGAGGAGGAGGAGGAGAAGCTGAGTGTGAAGAGCCCAGTCAGGATGCCCATCGGACCAGGAAAACCCCTTGGGGGAAGTTTCTAGGATCTGGGATTGTTTCCTGATGAGACTCCACAAGTGTCTCATTGGAGGTGCTTAACGCAGCTATTTTAATAAATTGATTCTCTGTTGAGTTAAAAAAAAAAAAAGGTTTATGGTAATTCTGCCCCACATAAAAAAGGTTTTAGATAGATCAAATGTTTTAAAGAAGGCAGGGAAGACTTCAAAAAGGAGCCGAGAGGGGGAAGACCGTCAACCCCTGTGAATGAAGAAGCTGTGTGTGAAGGTCAGAAACTGCTATAGGAAGACCAGGGGATCCCCACTGGGATCCGCCTGATTTAGCACTTTCTCTTTTCAGGGGGAGTAGGGGACTTGTATGGTACAAGGTTTCTGTTTTACTTTTGTGTGTGGATTGGTGACGACTTGCAGAAGCAGATCATCAGTTTTACCTCAAACAAGTCACACTCGTTCTTATTCGCTGCAGCCCCTTCAATGCACTAACTCATCTCAGCACTTTCCATTGTAAGTGACTGGCCTGCCCTAAGCTAACTCTAGGCTCAGTCAGTGATAAGTGCTATGTGAAAATAATTTTGCTCAAAGAGTTGTTCTATCTGTTTTTTAAGCAAGATTGAAGCTAATGAAGATGGTTTTATGGAGAGAATTATAGCCCTAGATGATTCTTGGAGCACAGGA